CCCCCCCCCAATCTCTCACCCACTGACTCCTCAATCTACATTTTTATGGACTACCTGTCTTGTATGCATACCAGACCAGCCTCTGGCTTCTTTACTTTTCATTCCATCCAGAAAGAGCACACACCAACTGCTGAAACTTCCTTAGCCTGACAAAGGGTTTTTGAACCTGAAAGCTTGCTTAATAACTGTTTTCCAACTATTTAAGTTGGTCTAATAAAAGATATCAGATTCACACAAAGAACCTTGTCTACAATGTATTCCTTGCTTTTATCATGCCATTAGTGGCATTAACATGTGGCTAGGTTACTATTTGAGATGTCCTAAGTATAACACTTGCTGGGGCCTTAAACACAGCGATTCAGTGGAAGAAGAGGAAAAAGCCAGTGTGAACTCAAAAAATCTCATACACTTAAAGCTGTACCTAAAATCTTAGGGTCTCAAGGGGACAGAAAACAGACATCTTAATTTCTCTACTCCTCTCCAGTCTCTGGAACAGACCAAGTAAACATCTTATTTCATTCCCATTTTCATTGTCTTTGTACAATCCCCACCTTCTTCTAGACATGGGCCATAGATGAAACCTTCCATTTGTCAGAAAGTATAACAAATCCTCTTTCCATATCCAGGGCCTCATTCGGAAACCATTTCAGTCATTTTCCATCTATTTCAACTAGACCACCATAAGCCCTTAAATGGCCTGTAAGGCTTATACAATAGGCAGCATCAGTGTCACTGTAGCAAAACATAAGATGATGCTTAGACTGAATTCTGGCATTTTTATCTAGTGATCTGTGTAATAATTCTCACAGACACTTGTGGAAATTCGAGTTGGTTGACAGGGCTACCCAACCTATCTAACAAGGCAACTTACATTCTGTAAGGTGTGATTTGACTGAAACAATACTTCTGACCAACGTTAAAGTTGCACTTAACTTTATACCAAACACTGCCATAGTCCAATATGTTGCAAGCAACAGCATAGTTAATACAATGAAGACTATAGGATTAGAAGGGACCTTCTGGGTTATTAAGATCAGACCCCTGTGTTTGCAAGCAATACAACGTTCTCTCAAAACCACCATTTCAAACTTTCATGTGCAACTACATAACACAAAACCAGAAATATCATGACAAACCAGGCGACAAAGGCACTGTCAGTGCACAGGCACTACAATGACGGGCAATAATTAACATATGCTCAAAGAACTACAGGAGAAGTTCTGTACCGTGAGGCATAGTCCAAAGACACTACAGTCCTCATCAGTGCCCGGGGGGGGGAAGGGGGGGGACAGACAGGGACCTTCCCGACCCCAGGTTTGGTAATCATTATGGCTCTGAATAGAAGAACAAGACCGCAAGCCAGAAGACAACTCGGTTTAAGAGCAATGAGGAGTAACTATTCAAGCCAGTTAAACAAACAAAAAACCCTAACATCAGCTGTGGCCAATATCCCCCTTTTCAGAAGGCAGAACACACCTTAGAAGCTACCTTCCCCCACACACCCCCCGCCCCCCCAAGTGGAAAAAGTCCTCTGGCCCAATAGGTAATAAGCAAAATCCCTGAAGAATGGGATTACCAAAAACCTACCAATATTATAAAAGGGCTTCTTTACACCTAAACATGTGGATTGCAAATATTTCCATGCATTGCATACATACACTGATTGCCAAACAAGCCATGCACTGATTCTTGAATAAAGAATCTCCTATCTTATCATAGTGCATCTTCCATAAATTTACAAAGTTCAATCTTAGATAGATTTTGGTTTCTTCCCCTGTTACTTTGATCAAAAAAGCTGGAAGATGATCCCTCTGGTAGAATTCTATTTTCCAATCAAAATGTATTGATGGCCAGAGTGTACCCATCTGATCTTGTAGTGAGGTAGTTTTCCAACCCAAAAAGCTTTTCTCCCTCTGTAACATTCACCTTGAATATATATGTAAAAATAACAATAATCCTATCCCTGTTAAGGTAAACAAGGCAGACTTCTTTAATACGTTACAAAAAAAAAGTCTCCATTCCCTTCACTACCATATTTTGTTGGATACTACATGCCACCAAATAAGACACACACCTTGTTT